AAATGAAAGGGGCAATATCACAATAGAACCAACTAAAATAAAAACATTAACAATAGAATATTATGAAAAAACCTATCATCAAACAAATATGAAAACCTAGAAGATATGGACAAATACTTAGAAACTCACAACCTACCTAAACTGACATAGACAGAAGTAGAATTTCTGAACAGATCCATTACAAAAGAAGAAACTGAACAGGTAATAAAACAACTTCCAACCCCAAAAAAGCCCTGGTGAATTTTATCAAACATTCAGAGAAGAACTGTCACCAATTCTACATAAACTATTTCAGAAAATAGAAAAAGATGGAATTCTCCCAGACTCATTCTATGAAACAAACATATCCTTGATACCAAAGCCAGGTAAAGACTCCACCTAAGTAGAAAATTATAGGCCAATATCTCTCATGAACATAGATGCAAAAATCATGAATAAAATCCTGGCCAATAGAATCCAATGAAGATAAAAAAAAATTCACCATGACCAAGTGGGATTCATAACAGGTATGCAAGGATGGTTCAACATAAGAAAAACAATCAATGTAATTTATCACATAAACATAGCAAAGAACAAGAACCATATGATCCTATCAATTGATGCAGAAAAGGCCTTTGACAAAATCCAACACCCTTTCCTGATTAAAACACTCAACAAGATAGGATTAGAGGGGAATTTCTTCAACATAGTAAAAAGTATATATGCAAACCCGAAAGCCAACATAGTTATCAATGGAGAGAGATAAAAGGCATTCCCTTTGAGAACAGGAACTAGGTAAGGATGCCTCCTATCACCTCTCTTACTCAATATCGTACAGGAAGTCTTACCAATAGCAACAAGACAAGAGAAGGAAATAAGAGGTATCAAAATTGGCAAAGAAGAGGTAAAATGATCCCTATATGCAGATGGTATGATAGTATAATTAGAAAACCCTAAAGACTCAGCTAGAAAACTCCAGAACATAGTCAACCAATTCAGCAAAGTGGCAGGATACAAGATCAACATACAAAAATCAATTGGATTTCTCTAGAATGACAAAGAGAATAGAGAAATGGAATGAAGAAAACCAATACCCTTCACAATAGTGAATCACAATATTAAATACTTGGGAGTAAAGCTAACTAGAAACACAAAACACTTATTCAAAGAAAACAAAAACATTACTACAAGAAACAAAAGGAGACCTGGAGAAATGAAAGAATATACCAAGCTCATGGTTAGAAGACTCAATGTTGTGAAAATGACTTTTCTACCAAAGACAATCTACAAGTTCAATGCAAGCCCACTACAAATACCAATTCCATTCTTCAACGAGATGGAAAAGGCGATTTCCAATTTCATCTGGAATGGAAGGATACCTCAAATAAGTATAGCACTCCTGAAAAAGAGAAAGAAGAAAGGAGGCATCTCACTCCATGATTTCTAATCCTAATACACAGCCGTGATACTGGCACATTTATAGGTAGATCAATGGAACACAATGGACAGCCCAGAAATCAACTCATCGACCTATTGTCAACTGATTTTTTTAAGGAGATGAAATCAGTTAAGTGGGGAAAGGAAAGCCTCTTTAATAAATGGTTTTGGCAAAATTAGAAAACTGTAGGAAACTAGGAAGACTGACACCTCACACTACACACAAAACCCAACTAAAAGTGGATCAAAGAAATAAAACCAAGAACTATTTGGCAATACCATTTCAGACAAGGGTCTCATATTAAAAGTTTAAAGAATCCTACAGGTCCTCCACAAGTAAAAGACTGATAACACAATTACAAAATGGGCAAAAGACATGGGAAGACTTCACAGAGGAAGATACTTGGATGGACAACAGAAACATAAAAAAAAATGCTCAAAATCACTGGCAATAAGAGAGATGCAAAGCAAAACCACAATGAGATACCATCTCCAGCAACAGATACAAAGTTTAACAGGACAGCAAGTAATAATGTTGGAGAGGATGTGGAGAGATAGGAACTTTTGCACACTGTTGGTGGGATTGTAAAATAGTGCAACCACTCTGGAAGGCAGTTTGGTGTTTCCACAAAAAACTGAACATAGATATTTCATATGATCCAGCTATTTCACTGCTTGGAATATGTTGTTGTTTGTTGTTGTTTAATGTCGTCGAGTCGTAGACGACCCATAGCGACCCTATGAACGAACAGCCTGAGCACTGTTCGTACATAGAGTTTCCAGAGGCAAGCCATTTTGGAAGTGGATGCCGCTCCTGCTTCCAGGCTTGGATACAGAAAGTTATTTTTTTAATATCCTGAGAAAATGAGAATTGAAGCACAGATGAAGATTTGTACATCAATGTTCATAGCAGCAGTATTTACCATCGCAAAAACATGGAAACAGCCCAAAGGTTCAAACAAAATTGAACTGATTGAGAAATTATGGTACATTCACAAGATGGAGTATTATGCAGTATGTAGGAGCAATGATTTTAAAAATTACTACCAAACTTGAGAGGGACTGGAGAACTTTATGCTAAGTGAACTAACTCAGTTTCATAAGAACAAATACTGTATAAGACCATTATTGTATAAACAGATAACTAGTAAAATGTGTATGAGGCTCTAAGGGGGGGGAGAATAGGATCATAGCGGGGAGGATAGGTGGCGGAGGGTAATCCTAGGGCCGCACAATCTGATGGGTGGTGGGAGGGGTGGGTTAAGGAAATAGGAAAGATCTGGCATGGAAAATGATGTATACAAACTTTGTAAGTAAACCAGAATAAAATAAAAAATAAATAAACAAAATAAATCCCAAGAACTATAAACTTCTTCAGAGAAAAGCTCTGAAGAACTGTAGAAGTCCTAATGTATGATATGAATAGTCTTCCAACCATCTTGAACAATCTACAACCAGGAGAAAATAAAATAGATGAATGTGACGTTCTTGTTCTTTTTTTTGTAAATTTTTTTTTTTTTACATTTTAATGAAAGTTTACAGAGACTGGATTTCCACTCATTCATTGTTGCACAATTTCCTCCCTGCCCATTCCTCCCCCCGTTTGCTTTTCTCTTTGAAAAGTAAAAAAAAAATAAAAAATTCTTTTATTCTTATACAATACCACACCGCCCCCCCCAAGTCCACTCCACTACGCAGCTTTCATTATGGACTCCTGTCCTGAAAACAACACCTAATTATATATTCCTCCTAAACAGTTCTCTCCCTAATCTATACTTTATCCCATCTTAGTTTCCCCCCAACTCCGATGGCATTATGCAATATTTGTCCTTTTGTGACTGAGATATTTACCTCAGCATAATGTCCTCCATGGTCACCCATTTTGTATAATATTTCATGAGTTCCTTGTTTTTCAATGTAGCATATTATTCTGTTGTGTGAATATAGCAAAGCATCTCTAGCCATTCAGTTTTTGATGGGCACTTGGGTTGTTTTCAGCTCTTTGCTTTTATGAACAAAGGCACAATAAAAATGGGTGTGCATGAATGGGACCTTCTATGAATCAAATCCTTATGCACCTCAAAAGTCTTATCTGACAGGGTCAAAAGGAGACACACAAACTGAGAAAAACTATTTGGCAATGGCACATCTGATAAGGAACTCATATATAAAACTTATAGGATTCTCCACCACCTCAACAAGAAAAAGGTAAGCAAATGGAAAATGGGCACAGAATATGAATTGATCCTTCACCAAAGAAGACATTCAGATGGCAAACAAACACATAAAGAAATGTTAAAATCCCTAGCTCTTAGAGAGATGCAAATAAAAAGAACTATGAGGTGTTATCTCACCCCAGTAAAAGTTCAGCAAAGCACCAAACAACAAATGCTGGAGAGATTGTGGAGAGAACCCTTATTCACTGCTGGTGGGAGTGGAAAATGATGCAATCACTATAGAGGGCAGTATTGGGTTTTCTCAAACTGGAGAGTATTATGCTGAGTGAACTAAACCAGTCCCACAAAGACAAATACTGTATAAAACCATTTTTGGAGAATAAGTATAAGGATTCAAGGGGGGAGGAGGTGAAAGCAGAGGGATGAGGATGTGCAGGAGAAGGGGAGAATTAATCATGGAGTTGCACAATTTGATGGTGGCCTGGTGAGGGAAATTCAAAGACTCTATTATAGAAAACAATGCATTCAAATTTTGTAAATAAACTAGTATAATAATAATGAAAAAAGTTGGAAATAGAAATACCATTTGACCCAGCAATTCCACTACTGGGAATCTACCACAAAGAGACCATAACTGTCACCCACACAGAAATATGCACACCCATGTTTATCGCGGCTTTGTTCACAATAGCAAGGAGTTGGAAACAACCTAAGTGCCCATCAACAAATGAATGGATAGAGAAGCTGTGGTATATTCACACAA